GTCTCAGAGTCGGGAGGCTGCTCTAGCTCGGTCTCTCCATGTTCTTCCTCCTGGGTCAGACCCTGCTGCTGCCTCCATCGTGAGCTGGGAACTGTGCCCACCCCAGGGGGGACCTTCTGCTGGACCCAGCCCCGGGCTCTGCCGACACCAGCCCCTGAGCCGGAGCCTGCAGGTGAGGGGAGAGACCCGGGGGAAAGGGCTGGGTGTAGTGTAGGAAACTGCTCCCTGTAGGAATGTGCTAGTTAGGGTGCACTGAGCATGCTCAATAACATCTGCTGAAGCCACTGCCCTTCACCCTGCCCTTATTACTTGTAAGATGCTGCTGGCTGCTTTTGACAGGGTTTAAAAAGGGGCAAAGGGGGCAAATCGGAGCAGGGGGTGGAAATTGACTGGTCAGGGGCATCAAGCAGCTGCAGGCAGGGTTAGAAAGGGACTGAAAGGCAAAATCAGGGATGAGGGGGAAGGAACCAGGGTTAAGCCCAGAGATTAGGCGCTGCCGGCGGGTGACAGAGGGCCAAACCTGGCACAAGCAGGGGCAGAGGGGGTAACAGTTACCCCGGTGGACTGAGACACCAGTGTTTGCAAAAATGGGGTGGGGGGCAGAGGGGCTTTTTTTATTTCCCCTCCCACAGGACAGTACCTCTCCTCATGGGCTTCCCAGGCTGGGTTTGTAAAGGTGCAGGCATCCGAATGCCTAGTCACTGCAGCTCCTCTTTGGATGTAACCTACTGAGGTGCTGCATGAGACTTGATTCAGTGAAATATTTTACATATACACCCCCTCAGAAAAACAAAACAAAACAAAGAATCCCCAGTGTATCTGACTGCATAGAGTCTCATAGCAGTTCACCAGTTTGTCTCAACTGCTGCTGGGATTCCCTGAATTCCCTGAATTTTTAATTCCAACTTTTTCTTATTATTTTTAGAGCAGAAGTTTATTCTGTTGGATCATCTGACTTCCAGTCTGACTGAATGTCTGGCCTGGTCTCAAAACTTTGTTTTCATTCAATTCCCCAATGGTGATTGCATTTTGCAACTGCTATTTTGCCTCTCAATCCAGCCCTTAATGTTTTTCTGCATGTCATTGTGTACAGCTTGATTCTCAAATATTCAGTAAAGACAGTCTATTATCTCCTAAACATCTTTCTCAAAGGCAAAAATCTATTGTGTTTTTTGCTGAACATTAGAACTGCTGTAGTGTATGTAGTCCGTCTAGTCCAGTATCCTGTCTTCTGACAGCAGCCAGTGCCAGGTGCTTCTAAGGGAATGAACAGAACAGGCAATCACTGAGTGAACCATCCCATTGTCCACTCCCAGCATCTGGCAGTCAGAGGACAGTTTAGGGACATCCAGAGCATGGGGCTGCATCCCTGATTATCTTGGCTAATAGCTGATGCACCTATCATGAGGGACTGATCAAATTCTTTGTTGAAACCGTTTATAGTTTTGACCTTCAGAACATAATGAACACACATCTACAACCCCGAGATACCTTGACAGCCACAGGAATTCTAAAATCATGAGTTATACACCCTGAAGTCAAGAAATTTTAATAAATACATGATATTTTGTTCTTGTGTGCCTCTTTGTTCCTGAGCCTTTAGAGTGTAGTAAGGCCAGTTCCACCAAAGCTGGAGGCTAAACACCTGAATGAATCTTAGTCCACCCTCATACTTTTCCTGTTATCTCTCCCAAACATTTCATATGCCTAAGGCCATATCTACACTACAAGCGTATGTTAACTCAAGTTATGTCAGCATAGGCTCGCTACAGTTACTATGTCACTTGTGCACATGCCTACTCACTTGTGGGCATGCAGAGTCCCAAGCATAGAAGTGGGGGACATCATGATTCTATGCAGAACAGATTGCTGTGGGACATAGCAACAACCAATTCAAACTTCTTGGTGGCATTCACAGGTTTGGGATGATGAGCATTGGCTGCACAAGGCCACAATCCTTGCTCTGTGTGCCAAACTTGCCAAAATGACAGTTGCACTGACAGTGGAGAAGCAAATACAGATTTCACCATGGAAACTTTCGAGAGATTGCTACCTCTTACTCAGAAGTATCTCAACTGTATTATGGCACTCTGGACCTTAAAGCAGTACCCTCCCCATTCCATTCACCCCGTCATATAATTATGATATATTTCATACAAAGAATGTCATATCACATATCATGAAAGGTCAGGATCTGCTGAAACCCATTGTTCTGTCATATTATTAGTGCCTATCAAGTTATGAAATTTTCCTCTATGGTTGTTACTGAAATATGTTGTAAGTTTGGGAGTTGCTCTCCAGTAACAACAGAAGAGGGAATGTACAGCCAGGTGGGCACTGAGTGATCATCAACAGCCATTACTTGTTGGGAGTTGTCAACGAGTTGTAATGGAAGTTGTAATCAGTGGATTTCCAATTCAATGACAAACCATACCAGGGGTATTTCTGAACACTTTCACTCTGCAAAGCCCATCATCACCTGTCTGGGCAAGGATTTTCCAGGCACGTGGACTCAAGCTATAAAATAAAAGCAACATGCATTCGCCTCAAAATCTTCACCCACCTATGCTGGAAGCAACCTGAACGCTGGGAAGACAAATGGTTCAGCTCAGGATACTGAGAAGGAGAAGGCTCTGACATTTTCAGCCACTGCACTGAAGAATCCAGGTGTGTACAGTATGTGCTATGCCTACATCATGCAGACATAGGCCTTTTCCTCACTGCTAAAAAAAAACTTTGATTTTTTTATCACCTTGCTGTAAGAAGGGTGATTGATCTGTTGTGAAGTGACAACACAATGAAGACAAGACAACACAACTTTTAACAGTGAGGGAAAAGGCTCAAGAAAATGTCTCAAAAATTAAATCGGAGAGCAACAATGACATGTGAGCACCACGGTTTTGAGTGTAAATTTTTTGTGGTGATACCCTTGTTGCTCGATATATGTAACAGTGACAAAAGTGGAAGTCTGTATAAAGCACAATGGTAGCTTTTCTACCTATGAGCTTGCTTTCAAAAGGAATTCATAAGCATTTCAAATACTATTTATAATGCTTTGCACTACTCCCAATGTTTTGTGTGCATTCAATGTTTCTTTACTAATAGACTGTATGACCTACTATACAATGGAAAGGGACTAATACAGATTTCTTTTGAAATGCTCAGACTTTCATTAAGAGTTTTTCATGCAATAGCCATGAAATTCAACGTGTAAAATGGTTTTTAAATAGTCCTGAAAAGATGTGGGCTTGGTCCTCTGTACTCCAAAAATGTTTGGTATCAAGTGTTATCTAATAGGTACTGTGAGGGTGTTGCCTAAGCATCTTGTCATATAACTAAAGTGTCACTTATGATTTCTTGAGTAATAAACATCATGAACAGAAGGCTGTGACACTCTGATCCTCAAAGTAGTACCTGGAACCCCCATATTTAGTATTGTCATAGGATTAGCAGATGTTTTGTACAAATGCATGCTTTTACTTTTTAAATGTTTTTCATGCCTGTTATCATCACGATACATAAATGTGTATGTTATATGGGTTTATTTATTTCAGATTCTTCAGCATTTCAGAAAACTGATTTTTCAAAAAAAAAACCCTTTATTAGGAAAAGAACTCCCTGTAATAAAAATCAGTATAGCAGATAAGGCGGGTAAGAAGAGGGTTTCCATGTATATGTTCTGTTGTTTTCTGAATGTATTAAACAGTGTCTGCAAACACCCCTGCTTGTGCTTTTTTTAAAATTCACATTCTTGTGCTGTTATATTTCCTATCCTGAGTTACTATGATTTCATTTTGTTAAAATGTTACGGGTGTTCTCATTATTTCAAATGAAATGTGATTTCCATGGATCAAATGCTGGCACACTTTGTAACAAAAATACTTTGAACTTATGCACATAGCTCACATGTATTTATGTAACCCTTGTGATTGGCCTATGAATGATGCTGCATTGTGGAGTTTGTTGAGTTTGGCTTTCCCTGCTTATATGTCTGCAATTTTCATGTCATACCTACAATATAAATGCTGCTTATTATATGCATAGATATTTGATGTTTGCAATTTTGTGGAAGTTAAGTGTGTAATGTTTTCTTCTGTGAACAATACTCAGTTAAATCTTTTGAGGGAAAAATTGCACAGATATTGGCATATAAGAGGAGTAACACATATCCTGAAGGAATTAATAAAACAGGCAGACTTAATCTATGTCAATTTGCTGCAAACTTTTCTTTGGAAGGTAAGCAATTCTTTTTCTCATGTAATAAAGACACAGAACACAATGGAATTTTCAGCATATACATGATGGTCCTGATCCCCCAACACTGGGATTATTTGAAGTGTTAAATTTACCTTCACTAGGACCAGGATTAGGATCACTAGTTTTCTTCACATTTCCCAGAAAATCTCCTTTGCTACATATGCAGGCACTGTAACAACATATTTGTCAGTTACATGACAAAAGAGTATGAAATATAAACAGTACCAAAAAAGCCTAAAATTTATCTTTATTTCTCAAGTACGTTATCCAGTCTATTCTACAAACAACAACAGTCCATATATGTTCATTGAGCAATGACTTCTAGTTTAAATTTTTTTTCAACATCTATTTATAGTCAGATATTGAAATTCCCCCCACCTCCCTTACCAAAGGCAGGACAACCCATTCTGCATTCAGATATCTTTTACATGCATATGCCTTATAATGAATCTATGACTTCAAAAATATTTGATAATTGCTTAAGGGCAACAGTTGATGACATTGTCACATCTCCATCTCTATTTCCATTGGGGGAGGGATAGCTCAGTGCTTTGAGCATTAGCCTACTAAACCCAGGGTAGTGAGTTCAGTCCTTGAGAGGGCCACTTAGAGATCAGGGGGCAAAAATCAATACTTGGCCCTGCGAATGAAAGCAGGGGGGCTGGACTCAATGACCTTTCAGGGTCCCTTCCAGTTCTATGAGATAGGTATATCTCCATCTTCTCTGAGTATCAGAGGGGGCACTTTTCCTTTCTGCCAAAGGAAGAAAGGTTGGTCTCGTGCACACCATGAAACAAGCCCTACAACTCTTTGAACGGTATCATGACAGTCCATGAGGTGGATATCAAGGAATAGTCAAAATGACAATGGCCCTGAGCACAAGATACTATTGCCTGGGATGACAAAAGACATTGCCGGGTCTGTACAGGAATAAAAATAAATCCTGGAATATGTCATTTATATTTTAAATGCAAATTTTACATTTACATTGCAAAGAACAATAATTATACATTTGCTGTAAAATGTACAATCCCTTCCCTTGCAATAATATTTTCATACAAGAATTTTAATGTCATCCTATTATTCCATTCAAACTAAGTTTTGCGATGTCTGCGTTGCCAGAAAGTAGAAAAGGAATTAAATCTGGATACCACCTTGGAAAGCATAAAGGTGAATTTTGGACTCTAAGACATCTACTACATTTCTTCAGAAATTCCTTTTATCTTCCTTCCAGTGTCAAAGCATTAGGAATGTTCTTAGTGTGGACTGCATATACATGATATCAAGTCTTACTCACTTCCTTTAAAAACCGTTAAGAAATCTTATAAAGAGAGAGTCAAAGATAATTGTTTGTCATTATCTATTTTTATTATTGCTACACAATGAGGCCTTTAATTCACAACGAATGCAATGCATGGTACAACAGAGTGCAGCAATGAGCTCTATTGCTCCTTGCACTGGCAGATTTCTGCAGGTTTATTATTATATCATTTTTCTTACAAGTATTCCTGTGTTCCTTTTTTGTTAACTTCTTCTTGTTTGTTTATTTCTTTTTTTCTGTTTTTTAAAATGGAAATTAGATTCTGATAGTGTGGTTGTGGAACCCACATCACACTGCTCAATATGCTTACGGGCTTATTGAGAATATGAAATAAGAGAAATCCAAAGTATGACTCCAACCGGTTCCCTTGCATACAGGTCAGTCGACCTTTGAATTGGTGGGAATGGATTTAATAGGGTCATTACCGGCAACAAAGGAGGGATACCGGTATATACTGACAGCCACAGAGTATCTTACAAGATGGGTTGAAGCATTTCCATTTTGAAATAAGTCAGCAATTGTGATGGCAAAGAAAATGTACAAAATTATAATGCAATTTGAATGTCCACAGCATATACTGACAGATCGCAGGTCAGAATTCAATAATGAGGTAAATACTTATTTCTGAGGTTGTTTTTGACTATGTCTTCAACCACACTTTCAGGTCACAGATAGTTGATGGTGAACATGGGCTTAATTGCCCTCATGAGTTTTTCTTTATGGGCATTTTTGCTGACAAGTTTCTGTGAACTCCCACTCAACTTTGGCAAACAGTACTGTTGGTCACCACATCAGGGTTGCTATAATATTTTATTCTTTGGTCTCTTTTTACCCACCAAACCTGTCCAAAGGAAAATTTATTACATGACTTATTTTCTTTCAGTGTAACCTGGAGATTTGCAAAAAATTGGGAATACAATGTGGTTTCACCTGCCCACACCACCCATAAACCAATGGGGTGGCTGAAAACACAAACAAATCCATTAAAAGGTAATCTTAGGGCTGGGAAAATTGTGTTATAGCCAAAAATAATATAAATCTATAAACCTATTATAACCTTTTATAATAAAGCAAATAGTCAAACCATTAGAAACCCATAAGAGAATATATATAGGCAAGTAAGCAGACTAGCCCTATAGGCTACAATACCCCATATCCATCACAACTTTCTACCCCTGGACTAGGATATAGGGAAAGGTAAGAGGTAGCAAATTGTGCTGGGAATGTCCTCATGCATCAAAATTTACCAGCCCTGGACCAAAGGATGGAGAAAGGCATAGGTGGGAAAACTATGACAGATGAACCACATCCATCACGGTTTGTTACCTCTGGACCAGAAAATGGGGAAAGGTGACAGATTCCAAATTGTGGTGGGAATAGGGTGACCAGACAGCAAGTGTGAAAAATCAGGATGGGGGTGGGGGGGTAATAGGAGCCTATATAAGAAAAAGACCCAAAAATTGGGACTGTCCCTATAAAATCGGGACATCTGGTCATCCTAGGTGAGAATGCCTCCATCCATCACAACTTACTGCCCTTGGACTGTAGGATGGGGAAAGTCAAAAGCAGCAAGTTGTGACAAGGCAGCAAAGGAGAGGATGTTAATAACTGCTACCAGTAGCAAATTGTGCAGGCAAAGTTACACTGGCAGGGTGAGGAGCAGCAGGTAGCACTGAGGGGGAAGGAGGGTGAACTGGAGGGTTTTTCCCTACAGCCCAGTGACAGGTTAATTTGACCTACAAATAACCAGAGGAATCTGGTGGCATACCACTGACAACTCCATGGCCCAAACTAGGGGAGCAGACCTTGCAGCTCAACCCTCTGCTAGCAGGCAGTGAACATGCTGTGGAGAAAAGAGATCACTGTTTACAAACTGCTCCCTGGATCAATCTCTTACCAGAGTGAATTCCACCAGAGTCAGTGTCACCGGGAAACATTTCCCTGACTCTCTGGATTCTGGGCAGCTTCTGTAGGACAAGGAAGCCATCACCCCCATATCCTGGTGTGACATTCTATACCTTGGGGGAGCATCCTGTAACCCCCATATTCCTCATTTTTATATCATTGTGATCTTACATACAAAGCATGCCTTGTAAGGTATCAGGGGAAAGGCTATGATCTTGCTGAAAGTCATTTTTCTATCTAAATATGTATATCATTAATACCTATGAAGTTACGAGAGTTGTCTTGTATGGTTGTCACTAAAACATGCTGTGGATTTGGGATACTGCCCAGATACTGGCTCTACAGAGACAATGACAAGGGAGGTAACCAACACCCGCGTGGGTGCTGTTGAACAGACTTCACCAGCCCTTGTCCAGCAAGGGGGCTGCAATTCAATGACTCACCTGCATGAGGCCACACCAGGGGAATTGCTCAACCTTGCTTAGGGACTCAGCAATGCCCACCAGATATGCCTGGACTTATGCTCCCCAAGCACATGGAACTGAGGGTAGAAAACAGAACGCAGTGGGTACCTGCTGCCCTGTTTGTTTAACATCCGCAGCGTCCCTGGAGGTA